CTGCAGAAAGAGAATCCGCAAAAGGTGCCGGTCCACTAAATCAGACACAAACACAGGGCAGCCCAACACCGTACCAGTGTCTATACCTTGCAGCAACACTATGTCTGATCCTGTAGGTCCTGGAGACACTGGCCAGGTAAAATAAATGTGAAGATTCTGTCTCTCTCCCTACACTTTCCTGTCCATTCTCCACTATCCTATAAACAAAAAAAGGCAAACAAAATCAATATATAAAAAAAAAAAAAACTTTTTAAACTCTTTGTGACAGAACCATGCTAAGCGACATTAGAATAATCTAGTGATTGTAGCTGGTGTACATTGTAAGTAATATTAATGGTTTGTTGTTTCTGACTAAAGGGCTACATCGCTGGTTATCCGCCTCATCCAGATCAAGGTCAGATTCACTATCCTTATCCACCAGAGTCGAGCGGACAACCTGCTGTTCCTCCCAACCCTGTAAGTTTACATACAGAGATTTACCACAGATCCTTCTATCCAAAGTGACAAATAAGGAATGTTACAACACAAGAAATTCATCCTAAGGTGGCAGCAACTTTCAAAACTTTTGAATACAAGTTCCAAATTGCTTAAATAGCTCTAGTGCAGCAGAATGTGAAAATAATGCAGAGTTAATTCGAGCGCCATGATTTTGGAACACTATGTCATGCGTGAGTTGCTGTAAACGGTGCTAGATGCGAGAGCAACTCACAAAGGCGTCCATCTAATGCATGTTTACAAAGAAAAACTATATAAAAGCAAGCAGTGGAAAGGTCTAAACATGTTATGTGTGCACGGTTCCCAAGACGAACATGAATTCTGGTTTGGATTTTAGCTGGTGGACCAGTATAGACATGCAAAACTTAATAAACCAGTACAGAGTTTATTTATTTAAGTTTAACTGTAAAAAAAAACAAAAATCAATTTAGTGCATTTTCGCTTTTTAAGGGCTTTTATCCTGAGTATCAAAACCCTGTCTACCCTCCTGCCTTTGGACCTGGACTTCCCCCTGCTCAGCCGCCCCAGTGGAATGCCCCTCCAACCCACTACAACCCATCTGCACCTGTGGTACATCCAAAATCTTTTGCAAATCTCTTTGCTTTTCATCCTGTGGGTTTATATTTCTATGTGCTTATTTGTCATCAAAGATAGCAAGCAAATATGTAAAGGATCAAATGAAATTCAAATGCATTAATTGCTCTGAAAGGGGCAACACAAAGTTAAAGAGATTGACAATTCTGACATTTGTTCACCTACAAGTTGTTCCAAACATGTGTTTCTTTCTTCTGCTGAACACAAAAGAAGATATTTTGAACTATGTTGGTTAGCAAACAACTGACAGTAGTCACTGACTTCTATAGTATGGAAAAGAATACTATGGGAGTCAATGGCTACTGTCAACTATCAAAATATTATTTTTGTGTTGAACCGAAGAAAGAAACTCATACAGGTTTGGAACAACTTGATGGTGAGTAAATGAAGACAGTATTTTCATTTTTGGGTGAACTACCCATTAAGTGTTTTTGCATAAAACAATTGCAATTCTACTAATATGTGTCTTTGTATTTTTTTTTTATTAATAACATACATTTACTACATATGATTTATTCATCGTTACTGTCTTTCAAATTCAAAGTTGCTTGCATTGAAGTATCCACACAAATGAACTTACTTATTTTAACAAGATTTTTTTAAACAAGATTCTGTGTGTCCTCAGAACTATACACCAGTAATGAACCCAGCATGATGAATATGAATGAATTGCCGCCAACTGCTCACACCTCAGCCTGAGGTAACATCTACCCTTTTTCTACCCTTCTCAGCCTAAATCATTAAAGGGGTCATATGATGTTTTTTTATAGTTTAATTTTTTTCTATTAAAATCTGCCTGTGAGTAAACCTTTCTTGGGCCATATTTTGCTATTGTTTCTAATACAGTTTTTAACTGTCCAGTCATTCAGTAACAGCCACTTCGCATTACATTTGGACATTTTTTTAAACAAATTGCAGAAAATGTGCCACGCATTGCTGAAAATGATTGTTAGAAAAAGTAAAGCTTTACACCTGACACTTCATATTCCCAATGACTCTCTGTGTCTCACACTCTTACCTGTCTTTTTTCTAGTCTCAACCATCTGATAGGACCAGCATTTCTATGGATATCCTTAACTCCAGTAACTCTGGTGTCAAGTTTGACGTGAACAAAGGAAAGTCTTCTGGCAGCAACTTCCTGTAGTTACTCCAAAATCCTGAATTATCCCTGCACGGGATGTAGAAACAAACACTTGTTTGTTAGATTCATACAAAATCCAAGCCTTAAAAAGAATAATACGAACTCCCTTTATGTATTACATACTGTACAGTACCTCAAATCCCTGTTAACTCTTTTCCCATGAAAAACAGCTTCCAAAGAAGCGTGTCTTTTTTCTTTCCTCTTAATGTCACTCTCTTGCTGCTCTTTAATAGCAGAAGAAAAAGCTGTTGTATGATACCAAAGATATTTTAAAAAGCTACCTCCATATTTTCAGCAAAATTTTTTCATATTAAAGTCGCATTACAATATGGACAAAAGAATGACTCACCCTCTGAATGGGCTTTCAGCAACACCCAATTTTGACAGATGTGTATATTCAAGTGAAAAGCCAAGCAATTTCCATAGACACACACTAGTTATGACCTGTCCTGAAGTTCAGTTTAAAGGTGAGAGTGAGCTACCATTTTCACTTCATCTAATCTCTCCATTCAGTCAGGCTGAAGAGGCTATATTCTACACTTTTGTGAAGAACTACTTGCGATACGAAGCCATTATTTTATTATTGTAGGATGTAGTTGTGCAAATGTCCATACACTATTGACAGTAGTGTATATATTCACTCTATTTACTTTTTTGCCAAGTTTTATGTACACGCTTACCTCACTCTCTTGTAGTGTTGGGAAACAACAACAAAAACCTGTAACCTGAGAAAACTAAAATATACATTGTTATTTTTACCTGCTTAAACAGCATCATGTAAACCCCAGGAATCAGACACATATATGAAAAAAATGACAGGATTTCTGTCTAATTAAGTTAAATACATATAATGCATGTTTTTAGTAATGCATGTTAGTGAATTTAAATGTATTAACAGTGTTTCAGGGAATTTTCTCAACTACCAAGCCAGTAGTAACTTTTCATAGTGCTGTTAGCTGGAATAAAACAAATGCTGCAAGCAAAACATTTATTCTTGAATCTTGATAATGTGTGTAAAATATTACAGTGACATTTTATATTAGGATTTGTGTTGTACCTGCATATTGATGGGTCATTTTAACTGCCCTTCAACTGCTATCAATTTCTTCACCGGGACTACGTTTACTGTTCGTATTTTATATTATCATTACATGTTCTAAGTATATATATTTTTATTTTGTCTGACATCTAGTGCCAACCGGCAAAGTAATTTCCCTTGTTATATGTTGCATTATTGGAAAACTAAATGTAATTTGTTGTCACACTTTGAACTATAATAAGAATGACAATAAACATGATTATAATAAAAAGTATTTATGTTGTTTTTAAGGTCTGCGCATTAAGCATCTCCAGGATTTGATCAAAACAGACATTGCAACCAGTTAGGTTTCAGTAATTTCTCCATAACACAAAAGATTCCACTGGATTCAACCAGTTGAAGGGGATATATAGAATTGGGTGTAACAAAAAAATAAAATGAATAAAAAATAAATAATAAATAAAAAGGTGGAGATTCTAGAACTTGAAAAGAGGATTTACATCGGGTTCAGACTAAATGCAGAGGCAAATTTTTCAGTTGTTTTGCCA